CCAGTGGCGCTGGAAAGCTTGAGGTGCGATTCCACAAATTTCCATCCTGGATTGGGAAAAGGAACTGTTTCTCAGAGCCTCAGGGATACTGTGGCTTGGGTCATCCAAGACGATTGGAGCTGTCTCCCCTCACTCACAACCTTGTCTGCGGCCATCTGTGATGTTGGAGAACACGATTCTCAGTCCCCACCCTTAGGTCCCTACCAGTATGGTGAAGAGGCTGGCATAGGTGCCATGCCCAGCACTGTGCGGGTCGGGAGCTCCTCGCCCAGACCACACAGCCCACCCTGAGCTCAAGCGCCGTGTCACTTCAACTACCTTGGCTCTTTGCTTAAATCCTCCAAGCCTCAATTTGAGGACAAGGACAGACCCACAGTTCTTTAGCTGCCATTTCATTCATTTTTTTAAAAATTTTTTCAGTAGTAGGAATCAAACTCAGTACCTTGTGCTTGCCAGGCAGACATGGCATCACTGAGCTACATCCCTGGCCTTTGCCATTTCAAATTCTACAGAGCACTGACAGTCAAAAGATATCTTGTGACCCCCGTGGCTCTAAAACCTGTCTGGACCTAAGTCATCTGGTGGTAAAATTGGACCCGAAATGAGACAAGTATATTATGGTCTTTATTAATCCTGCAAAGTGGGATGTCTGTACCTTTATTTCTGTGCTGAGGGATGAATGTATTTGAGCATGGGGGCTGCCGAGGTCCCATGGGGGAGTTACAAAAGGTCCCGCATAGACAGCACACACACATCTAATGTCTAAAATAGTTGAAATTCTGGTGCCAAGAATGGTAAGGCCAGGGTCTCAGATAGGGATCTGTGGTTCTTTAGTGGCAGGGTCGGAAAGTGGTAGGAGACACGGGACCGTGACACTCAAGGTAAGGGCCCAGTCGTGCCGGCCATTAGGACTTCGGCTATGTGAGGTGAGTCCCACTGTCTCCTGCTGCCCCATCCTGCATACCCCACACCTGAAGCTGTGGACAAGGCCCCCGGGTCCCCACTCACTGGGGGAGGCTTGCTCCCTTGGTTCTTCCTCAGAAGAGGGAGAGGTGGCTTCTGGGAGCCCCTCATACCTCCACTCCTTGGGTCCTGGAGTCTGTTTGTCTCCTTCCCTTCCCTGTACAAGCGGTTGGGGACATAGCCCTGAGGGCAGAGAAGCCGGGCCCAGTGTCTCCCTAACCCACATGGGGGCTGACAACTGGCAGCTTTCAGCTCCCCAGGCCGGGCCCCTTCCAGAGGGGTTGGTGAAGCCCAGGAGAGGGGGCAATCACAGAGACTGCTCCCTGAACATGCTAAGCCAGGTCTGGATGCTCAGCAATGGTGGGGTCAGAGGTCAGTCTCCCTGGGCTGAGGGCACAGCTGAGGTCACTTGGGTGATACTCTAGTGCTGTCACAATCCCAGTGTCCTCCCTGTGTCTCTTTTTAAGGATTGAGCTGGGCCTCCCTTTCCTATGTGCTGCTGTTCCTCCATCCCACCAATTTCCAGCTTTCCTGGATCCTGCTTTTCTTGGCGACACCATCTCCTTCCCACCCTCCCTCTCCAGGGTCTCTGAGAGCCAGCACCTGCTGCACGGGCAGAGGGGACCTGGTGCTCAGCCTTGGCTCTGTGCCACAGACAGGACTGCTGCCCCCCACGCTCGATGCCAGGAACCTCCCACTCTTCCCAGGCCAGTGGCTGGGCTCCCCATTTCTAGCTGACATTTAACTTGCACCCCACCTCGCTCCCTGCCTCCCAGGGAGGGGAACAGACAGTGGACCCAGTCCACAGACCATCGAGTGGGGCCACCGAAGTGGGGGGAAAGCGGCAGCCAAGGCAGATGAGAAGCACCAGATGGCTGGGGTGGAGTCTAGAGGAAGGGGCACCTCTCCCTGCCCTGGCCTGGCTCAGCCCTGCCTTCTTCTGTCTTCCAACAGACACCCTCTGTCCTGGGGGCTTCTCTGCATCCTCCTTCAGGGCTAACCCCTCACTCCTGCCACTTGTATAGGGTCTTTTCTGGGTGTCCTCCTCTGGGGCACAGCCTGGGCCCTCCTGAGCCTAGCATGTGATCTGCTGATCACTGGAGATGTTGAGAAGGCAGCTCCTGACGAGACCTGGCTCTGCTGCTGTCCCCCACCAGCCACCTGGGAGGCAGGACAGAGGCTTCCTGAGCTGATCAACCACCGTGTAGGCAGAACGCTCCACAAGGGAGTCTGGAACTCACACGGTATCAAGGTCCAGGTCACATAGGCTGCTGCCAGATGGCATGGGTGGAGCTTGAGTGAGGAAGCAGCACGGTGGCTGGCACACCCACAGGCAGAGCCCAGAGATAGGCGGACCCACGCTTGGCCCCATGGAGGGGTACGGGCACCTACTGCAAGACAGGGCTCAAAGGTGGCATCAGGAATTAGTCCGACACCAGCTTTAAATACAGTTTAATTTGAAAAAGTAAGTACAGAAACAAAGTCTTTGTAAATAGGGAGGTGTGGAGGGGTTGAACTGAGGGCAGGGAAATGGGGAAAAAATAAGAACCAAGATATATCATGCAAAGGTACAAATTCCCTATGATGAATGTCCTCATATTGTATAGCTAAAATGTACAGATAAACTTAATGCATAAAAAAATACAGTTTAATTTGCTGCACAGTAATCACCAGGAGACAGAGCTCTGGTTGCTCCCGACACTCAAAGCAGATCTTGTTTCCCACTGAATCAGAGTGACCTTCCCCACTCGAGGCCTGTGCTGCCCAGTCCCCACCTAAGGAAGGACAAATGCTGCACCTGCATTCTCATCTCTGGCCACCAACTCCTGCCCATGTCACCACTGAGAGCTCAGGATTATTCAAGGGAGGGCCAGGTCACCCCACTGCAGAACCTGACCCATGCTGTCCCCCACCTGTCCAAGGCTCTGGTCCCCTCAGAAGAGGAGCAGGTTGGACACCTGTGGCTTCAGCACAAGGTGATTGTCCCCACATCCCCGCATACCTGGAATGGAGGCCTAGCTCTGGGTACCTCCAGCCAACACTGACCCCACAGAGAGGGGTGAGTCCAGCTTGGTCTTTTCTTCTGCCACCTTTCAAAGTGGGTAGGAGCTGCAAGACGCCCCTGGTGGGCACACTGTGACCTCCTGTCCTAGGAGTCACCAGAGGGCCCTGTCACGCCATCAGAGCCACGTTTCTAGGGGCAGTGCCCTCAGTTGTGGCCTGGAGCAGGTCTCTTCCTGTCCTGTGCCACCTTCATTTCAGAGCAGATGGGAGGAAACAGAAGTATGGACACAGCAAGGTGGTGGTGGGCAGTGCACCCGGCAGCCTTGATTGATGAGGAAATCAGTGGCTTCATGAAGGCATTTAACACAAATATGGTGGAAAAGAGCATGTGCTGCATCAGAGGGCAGCAGCACGGCTGTGTGTGTGTGTGTGTGTGCGCGCACGTGCGCACGTGCCCCTAAGTGGCCTTGGGAGAGAGGCAGGTTAAACCCAACCCAGACCCTCTTCTGCGGGTACCAGCATAGGGTCCCTGCAGTGCTGTTGCTCCCTGCTGGGGGTTTACCCATGATATGGGGAAAGGGAAATGGAGCAGTCACCGTGGGGCCGGGACAGCAGAACCTGGTGTGTGGACAGTGTGAGGGACCACACATGGGGGCCTCTGAAGCCTTGTTGCATGGTGACCTTCGCCCCAGGCAATGGGAATTTGAAGCAGGAGCCTGGCTGGTTTAATTGTGTGCCACTATGGGGAAGATTTGTTTTAAAAATTTGAATCCATATCATTATGTGAAATGAATCAGACATGTGAGCTTGATTTCTCTTATAGGAGAAACCCAGAGTATAAACAAAGATCAAAATAAAAGATAGATACAGTGTTGCCTTGGTTTATGAACTTAATTTTGGGGATGATGGCTGTGTTTGTGTTTGTGTAGGGAAGATGGCCATGGCTGTGTTTGTCACTTGATGCAGAGTTAGCAAAATTTTGCCAAATGCTTTTGTTTGTAAACCCAATAGTTTGCAAACAGCAGTGTTCATAAACTGAGGTGTTACTGTAATAGGAACCAGGGCAATAGATATTTGCAAATGGAAAGGGGATCGAGAGATGGAGACTGGGAGTGGAAGGGGAAGTAAAGAATTAAGATGTGTTCTGTACATGCACCAACTCCCCGCCAGGAAGGCAATCACTGCATCTTAGAAACATGCACTAGGAAAAAGGAAAAAGAAATCCACTCTGGAGCAGTTTGGGGATCAGAGCTATGTTGGGGACCTTCCAACCAGGCTACTGCCACAGTCCCACGGGAGCTAATAGGAGCAGAGTTCCGAATGTCTGGGGAAGGAGGAGGCAGAGAATCCCATAGCCCCCAGAGCACCAAAGCCCCATGGCCAAGCAGATGAACAGGTGGGGTTGAGTCAAACAGCCCCGGCCTGGGCAGTTACCCCACTTGCCCACATTGCTCATCTGCAGCTGACAAAACAGGTCCAAAAGGGGGCCAGCCACCCAGGGAGTCACAAAACTGAAGGCTAAGAACCATAAACATTTTTGTCCTGTCGGGGCTGACACAGGACCAGGGCTGGCACTGCCACTGCTCCTGACTGTCATTGTACAGAGTCCCCTGCACAGGGCACAGCTGACACTGAGAAATGTCTGACCTCCAGCCGCTCAGACAGACCCGAGTCCTCAGAACTAGGCTGACTTTGGCCACCACTGTTGCCCCCTCTGGGCCCTGTTCACAACTGAACCCAAACTGAGGCTCTTACCCACGGGTCCACCCATCATGCCCCCCATGTCCCTCCGTGCCCACCTCCCTCCCGTCTGTCTTCGTCAGCTCCCAGACAGCTGGTCCTGGAACTTCAGCTTCATTGACCAAGCTCATGGGGTCCGACCTACCTGTGCAGGGTGACTGCTCCATGGCAAGCCACACACTCAGGTGTTGACAGAGCTTCACAAGTGCCTTGGTGCTGGTGGCACCAGCAAGCGCGGGTCCTTGCTATAGTAGAAATAAAAACTGAAACTAAACCACAAGTTTACAGGGGCGAAAAAGCTTTAATTGGAAAGAAGAAAGGTAGGAGAAGACCCACAAAGGCAGCTTTCAGGGATTATCTGGGGATGGGGTCAGGTTGATCATCATCTCCGGCCTGGTGTCATTGTTCTGAACTCTTTCTGGCTCAGGGGTGACCTCATCTCAGGAAAGGACCGTCTCTGTCTGTGCGGGTCTCAGTCACACAGGCTCTGTCTTTCTTGGAACCCAGGTGCTTATGGGTTGGGACAATGGCTGGAGACTTCTGCGTGTAGCTGACTGTCCCCATAAACCTCTTATCTTGGTGTCCTCAGTCTCGAGGGGGATGAGGTCACATAAGTACAGTGCTCATCAACCCTGTGCTGCAGCTCCTAGACAGACACTCCCGGAATGACCCACACGCCCTATGCAGAGCTGAGATTTGACCCAAGATTTGTGGTAACAAAGGATATAAGATGGTCAGGCTCTGCTCTGCTCTTATTCACCTACGGGGCATCTGCAGGCCCTGGTGAGAAGTCGGGGTTCACAGCAAAATGGCTTTTAAGTCCCCGACTGTCCCAGGTGAAAAGAGAAATCATCCTTTTCATGAGCAGCAGGGGAGTCCAGGGCTTTACTTCTTCCCCACCCCTAATGGTCGCTGACTATGCCACTACTGCGTCACTCCCCCAGCAGACTTTCTCCTCCTTAATCTTAAGGAAGAAAAGACAAAAGATCTCACTTTCCTTTTTTATTCTTTTGTGCTATTAACTATTTTGCTCTCAGGTTCAAGTCAGCAGTCAGCCCCATAATCCAGTTGCTTCTCAAAGCCTTGCTGTTGAGCACATGAGGAATCATATTCCTAAGGAATGTTAACAGACCACAGTTACCAAGTTTTACAAAGAGAATGTAAAACACAGATAATAAGAGTAAAACAATTCCAGTTAGCATAAGAGTTTAAGAACCATAACTACTAAGTCTAGTTATGTCAGAACTGAGCAATGGAGGGACCCATGGAAGTTAAGTTGTAAGTTTCTATGGTCCATGTGCCCCTCCAGGAATGAGGCAGGTTAGAATTTTAGTGCCACATGGGAAGAGATATCCAGGGCCCCTCCAGGAAAGGGCAGTTGTTGGTCTCTGGACTTAGCTGGAAGAATGGGTAGTAGGAATATTGAAATGCACTGGATCAAGAGAAGGGTTCCAGAGGCCCCAGGGGCTCATGGCCCTGGTTGTATTCATGCATACATAAAGGTTGACACGTGGGGATCCTGGTGAGGGTGACTGACATCACAGTGTAAGTGACGATGTAACATGACCATACAGTGGAACTTGTATGGGAGGAGTCTACCAGACTACTCTGGGCCACTGATCTATTCCCCACTTTGGACCACCATTTCATGCACTAAGTGGAGGACGTCTGCCTCCCAGCTGGCAGTCCCATTCACTTGGGCACCTCCCCAGGTGAGGGAGCAGTAGGTTGTAGTCACCTGGTACTCAGTGTGATTGCTCCTAGGATGAAAGGCACGAGCAGGAAGAGTGTACTCTACTGGGTTATTGCATGTTGAGGGGCCTAGCACTCCCAGGAAGGGGGCTTGCCCATACTTGTTTTTATGGTTTCTGTCTAGATGTTCCCCAAATCCTCATGTGTGCATAGGTGGGGCTTTGGAAGGTGACAGGATCATGAGAGCTGACACTCATCAGTGGAATAGTCCACTGGTGACTCTATAGCTAAATGTGACGTTGGGAGGGGGAATCCTGGTAGGAGGAGGTGGAGCATGCCCCACCGGGGAGGCGTGGCCTGGCAGGCTCTCTTCCTGCTACCATGCCATGAGCTGTTTCTCCTCTGCCATAGCACCTTGTGTTGGAGCCAGCTGACTTTGGACTGAAACCTCTACAAACTGTGAGCCAGAATAAACCTGTCCCTCTTAAATTGTGGGTGCTGGGTATTCTGGTAGTTAATTAATGGTCAACTTGAGTGGGAACGCCCAGCTGAACTGAGTCAGCATGGTTCTGGGGAACAGTATAAAAGGAGACCAGGAGGGAAGGATTTCATACTGATTTCCCACCTTGAGCATGGTTGTTGTTCTCCTGGGAGGAGCTCTGGGCCTCTCCTTCACCTTGGGCTTTGTCTCCTGGTTCTCAGAGTGGGTTCTTCAGCTTCCAACATCAGCCTTTCAGCTGGCTCAGACTCTGACCTCTCCCGAGGGCCCTTGGACTTTCCTTCAGTCTTCCATCAAGGATTCCTCTGCCTCCTGGTGTGGATTTGCACAGGACATTGCCGTGGGATCCAGGCCCTCAGCTGAATTCCTTGGGTCTCTGCTGTGTGGAGAGATCTCTTGCACTCTTATACATTGGACTCTGTGAGCAAATATTATAAGCTACTCTTGTAAATTTCTGTGTCCTGCACTGAGTCTGTTCTCTTGCAAACACTGACTGATACAGGTACTTTGTCCTAGAAAGAAGGAAAGTAACTAAGTGTTTAATGCAGAGGGACCCCTGAAGGGTCAGGAGGGAACCTGTACTAACAACTCAGGCAGGACAGGACAGCTGCAGGGCTCTTTGCTGCCAGCAGTGCTCTTCTGATGGTTTTGGGCCAGTTACTGCTCCACTATTCTAATCAAGGTGCACAGTGGGTAATGAAAGCCCCTGGGGCCGGCAGTAACAGGAGTGTGTGGAGGGACAGGGGTGACTCCCACCGGAGTGGTCCATTCCTGCAGTGGTTTTATCAGGCACAGAGCTAATAGTCATTTAGCTTTCCCCCTTTTGCATGGCTGAGGAGGGGTCTGTCCAAAAGTGTAAGCCAGGGGCCAGGGACTTAGCTCAGTGGTTCCACCGCCTGCCTGGCAAGCGCAAGGACCTGAGTTCGATCCCCCTTACACCCCCCCCCAAAAAAGTGTAAGCCAAATAGAAACGAGAGATGAGGGCAAGATAGATAATGGGCAATGTCAGTGTAGAGAGCCTGGCTTTCATGTGAGGTCAGATTAGACCTGGCAAGGGCAGAGGAGACCCCTCCTGGGGCAGGGGTGGTTCACAAGGGTAGAGGGACAGGAGTAGAATAGCAATGATCAGACCCCCCTCCACACACATATACACACAATATCACCCTACATTGCTTCTCTCCTTGGTGGGACAGCCCTCTGAACAGGCACTTGAGGTCCTCTACAGTCTCACAAGTATACAGGCATAAGAACAGAGTGTCCTGGACCTTTTGTCTTTTCTGCTTTGGAACAGGAGCTTGAGTTCACCCAAGGGTTTACACCAGAGTGAGATGTCACATTGTCCTCCTCCTGCATGGGCTTATAAGAAACAGGTTTGAATCTAGAGCTATGGACCCAGTTAGTGGCCCCCTGCAGCTTACCTACAATAGGTGTACTTGGTGAAACCTGGTGTGGCCCCTTCACTGAGGCTGTAACTAATCTGCTGGGATCCCTCTTTTCATGTTTGCACCAAAATGAGGTCCCTAGGCTGAATCAGGGAAGCAGCCTAGCTTGAAAGAAAAGGTTATACTTGGTTTCCATAGCAAGCCAGGGCCTTTTGCACCTGACCCAAGCTAATAACATACTTTAAAGTTTGGTAAGTCTCTTCATCGTGAGGATATTTAACACCAAAAAGGGCCTCCCTTATGTCATTTCAAAGGGGCTGAGACTTAATTTACTCCTGGGGCTATCTTCATCCCTAACATGGATACGGGAAGCAGGGGTGGCCAAGGTCTCTGAGTCTTTTGACACAACTTGAATAGAGTCTATTTGAATGTGTGTTTCATTCTTTCTACTTTTCGAGATGATTGCAACCTCCATGAGGTGTACAGATGATATTTTATTCCAAGTCCATGGGAAAGATGTTGAGTGACCTTGGCCACAGATGAGGCCCCATTATCCCTCTGGAGATGAATAGGGAGCCCAAAACAGGGCATTATCTCCCATCAGAGTGGCTTTGCAACTTCTCAGGGCTTCGCCATCTGAGTGGGGAAAACTTCAACCTACCCTGAAAATGTGTTCACGGAGACTAGCAAGTATTTATAGCCACTGTATGTGGGCATCTGTGTGAAATCCAATTGCCAGGCCTCCTAGTGTGTATTCACTGATGTTGAATAGGTTTAGTTAGGAGTGGGGGTATGGGGGGATGGGGTGAGATTCTGGTTCATTCCAGGCACAAACTTCACAACTTTTTGCATCTCATATAGTTTTGGACAGTCTAATTTCTCCAAAGGCATGGGACATGAACTTTTCCAGGGACTCTTGCCCTAGATGAGTAGTGCAGGAGGTGAGTAACTTTCCAATGGTTCTTTTAGGAAGAAGGAATCTGTCTTCATTTTGAAGCCAGCCTATAGGGTCTGTCCTCACCTCTGGAGGCTCCTTGATGACCTCCTTGAGGGTGTACTGGGGACCAGAGCTACTGCCTGCGGAGGACTGTTTTCCTGGGCAGCTACCTCAGCTCGCCGATCAGCCAGGTTGTTTCCAAGTGAGTCCTTTTGATGCTTCCTGCAGGGGACAGCAGCCTCCTCCCTGGGCAAAGTACTGCCTCTCCCTATGTCAGGATCTCAGGCCCATACTTGATGGATGAATTTTTAGCAGGGAGCATTCCTCTTTCCTTCCAAATAGGTACATGGGCATGAAAAACTCAGAAGCCACACCTGGGGTCTGTATCTATGTTGGCTCGTAAGTCCTTCGCTAGTAGGAGGGCTCTGGCCAGGGCTATGAATTTGGCTTTTGAGGCAAAAGTATGTGGAGACAGAGCCCTAGTCTTGATCATTCACTGGAGCTTGACTACTGCATATCCTGTTTTATCTAGAGCAAAACTGCCTCTATCAGTAAATGATTCCAAATCAGGATCTCCAAGGGACTCATCTTTTTAGTCCATGCTACTGTTCAGTAATTCCACATTCTCACAGGAAAGATCCCCAGTCCCTGTCTGAGCATCCTCCATTGGGGACAGGAAGAATGAGTTTAGAGTATGACATACCCTCAAAGTGACACCAGGGCAGTCTAAAGGGCAGTCTGATATTGCAACGGTTACCTCCCATCATTCATTGGTGCCCTTTTGCCTCCAAGATAGCTTGAACCTGGGGAGGGTTTGGCACCCCCAAAGACTGACCCAGGGACAGCTCAGTAGCTTCTCTTACCAAGAGGGCAGTTGTAGCCACTGCTCTCAGGCAGTGAGGCCATCCATGGCCACTGTGTCTAAGTGCTTGGAAAAACAGGATGCTGGCTGAGGAGTAGCTCCTAATCTTTTTGTAAAGACTCCTATTGCCACCTCCCATTGCCCTGAGTCATAAAGGGTCATTTCCATGTTGGGTAAACCAGAGTAGAGGCAGGAACAAGCTCAGTCTTTAGGATGTGGAAAACCTGTTTGTATCTTTTGTCCATTCGGATGGTTCTCTTTCCTCCTGTTTAGAGCCTCATAAAGAGGTCTGGCTATCGCATTATACCAACGTGCAGATTCAACAAAAGCCAGCCATTCCCAAAAACTACCTTCTAGTTTGGGAAGACTGTACCAAGAAATACCATTTTCATCAAGGTCCATAGCCCAGGGACTTTCTTCAGAGGAAATTTAGGCCTTTTGGGGTGACACTCGATATCATCACTGAGCTAGAAAATTTAGTACCTATATAGTGTTTTTATCAGAAGATCCCTAGAATGACTGGAAATGAGAAGGTCTTCCACATATTGGGACAGGTGGAATTCCCTTGGCCCATGGGCCAGATCATTTCCAAAATGATGGACATCATCTCCAAATCCCTGGGACGTACAGCCCAGGTCAAGTGAGTGGTTTCTTTCATGGGAGGATGAAAAGTTAACAAATGGTGAGATCTAAGGCACAATGGGGTACAAAAGAAAGCATGCTTTACATCTAACACAGTGGGCCAGGCAGCCTCCCAGAAGTTGGGTCAAGAGTGACAGGTTGGGGACCATAGGATTACAGCCTTATTTACTGCCCTAGGTCGTGAACCAACCTAGACTTTCCATTGGGTTTTGAACTGGCAAGATGGAGATGTTATGGAAAAATGGCATGGTTTCAATAGCCCATGTTCCATACTGTTGGGGCTATACCTTCCAGGGTGCTGGTTTTAGAGGGATTGTCCCTTCTGTGGGTAAAGGACACCTGGCCTTTATTGTTTTTCTACTGGAATGCATGAGTGGATTTCCCATATCCTTGCATCTACTGTGAGGCTGTACTCTCAGGAACAGGGAGGGACTATGAATTACCATGTGTCCAGTGAAAACCACCCATAGTGGCCATTTCTCCCCAGTGGTCTGTTCATTTCCCATGGAGAGAGTGGTATCTAGTTTTGTCACAAGATTTCTTTCTAATAAGAGAATGGGCATTCAGACATTAAAAGGAAAGTATGGTAAAATATCTGGATGTCATCTAGGTAGGACAATGGCAGAGTAAACCTTCTGACCCTGGGCTGCCCACCTATACCTGGGGCCATGCAGGAGGAAAAGGACAGAGGTACAAGTACCTGAGTTAAACTGAATAAGCTGCTCCAGTATCTAATAGGAAGTTGATATTCTTTCCTACCATGTCCATGGTTGCCCAGGGTCCCTCTACTGTAACAGCAAGTTGTCCAATTGGAAACATCAGTCTTTCACTCTTCCAGCCATCACAGGAACCAACTGAAGCAAGGGTTTGGGGTTGGGGTGGAGCTGAAGGAGGTGCCAAGTGTAGAAGTTTACTATAACTCAGGCACAGTTAGCATTGTGGAGGGTGATAGGTGCCCATGAACCAAGTCTTTTAACTTGAATCAGCCAGACCAAAAAGCAAAGACCTGACCAAAAGAGTAGGAGTTGATGTCCACTGACCCAGACTGAAAAAGGAAAGGAGTAGCACAAGATTTTCATATACATCTGGGGACCTATATTTCCCAAGGGACGAAAGTTATAGATCACTAGGAAGAGAGTTTCTCGTTGAGAAGTGGGAGTGTAGAGGTGGCACAGAGCAGACAGCAGCTAGAGAGAAACATAAAAAAATCTGAGACATTTGGACACCCTGCCTCATAAAAGATCTGTCTCTAATCCAAAGGATTTTAGGAAAATAACCAACACCTCTCCAAACCAAAACCCAATGAACAAGACAAATCTGCAACTAACCAATACAACCAATGGGCCCTGAAATTCTCAATTAATAAAAGTCCCAACCAAATCATTCCCTGGTGTCCCTGGAGCCAAAACAACAGAGAGGTCAAGAGGATGGGAAACAAGGAATATTTTAAGAAAAGAGCCAATACTCCTTTAAACTGACATGGGCCCTGTGATTTCTGATTAGTTCAAGTTCTGACCAAGTCCCTGGTATCCCAAGGGAATTAATATGAAGGGGTAAGGGGAAGGGAAGAATGGGTTAGAAGATGGACTGTAGGGCTGGGGATTTAGCTCAGTGGCGCTGAGCATGCCTTGAAAGCACAAGGTCCTGAGTTCGATCCCCGGTACTGAAGAAAGAAAAAAAGAGAAGATG